TGATTAAGAGGACATACAATTAAAATGAGTCATCCACTCCACATATGAGGCGACCTCCTCAATACTCACACCCACCCCCAATTAAAATGGAAACCAAGATTGAACTTTTCATATATACTGCAGCGAAAAAGAATGTAAATTTTATGGATAATGAGTCCTAAAAAATGGCTCCCCTAGAATAATCAAGATGACGGAACTAATTTTAGAGCTTATTACCTTCCTCATGTGGCAGAAAAAATGCGTGAATGACATCTCTTCTCTTTTGTTCTTCTTTTTCAATCAATGAGGGGAAAAATGCCTTTTTAAAATTCTAATGTTTTACTCACGGCACAGGTCTCTAGAGACTTTACATTAATTTCAGATTTGAAAGGACCTTATATTAATAAAATGTATTGTTTGGGACCTATGTGTAATTTTTCTTAAAAGAACATGCACTACTGTTGAGTGCGGAAAATAGTAACATGGTTTTGGTGTGTGTTCCCACCACCAGTAGTCACAGCCTCACTGACACGGTAAGTTCATCGTTATCATCTGAATCTGGTCATTCTTAATTGACTACGTTTTGATAATTACAAACCTAGCTTACATGAAGCTAAATCAAATTGGAACCAATTCTCATTTATTACATTTACAAACCTAGCTTAAATGAAACTAAATCAGATTGGAACCAATTCTCATTTATTACATTATGTTAGTGTTAATGTCTTCTCTGGCGGCAGCGCCTGTGTAAGATGCATAATCAGATGATCACGAGTGTTCTGGTAGTGGAGATAGCCACTGGCTTTGAGTGTCCTGAACAGTTTACTGCCAACAATGTGGATTTGGAGCTTGTGGCTGCTTCCTATCGCTACTCCTTGGCGAGAGATACCTTTATGATGATCCTGTAATAAGATTGCATATGCAATGTCTTGTTCTTGTTGGTTTTAATATTATTTGCCTTAACAATTAATGGGTAAATGGATCTAAGACGTATTTATGAACAAATTTTAGGTCCAATTGGTTTTATACATTTATAGGATCAAAGTCTCCAATTACGCGTATTATTTTGTTATTGTTAGTTGTTAAAATAGACATGTACGCTTATAAATTCACTTACAGAACATGGATATTTGTTATTTTGCTATTGTTAGTTGTTAAAATGTGTATATGGATGAATTTGAGCTAATAGATATAAGCAATTTGATTCAAATTTTATGGATATAAGTAATTTGATCTAAGTTTTGTCCTATATATACTTCAGTTGCAAATCAAGATAAACAGAATTAAGTTGTCCAAGTGTATTGATATATTTTCAACCCAAGCTGGAACGCTATCTTTTCAATCAAAATGAAGATGCAAATAGAGTTGAAATTTCTGTTTTTCTCTGTCACACAAACTGGACATGGTTTTAAACAAGCCTCTAATTCGTCTACCCTCTCTCTCTCTCTCTCTCTCTCTCTCTATATATATATATATATGACTGGGTTGAGGTTATATTGATATTCACAAATAAGTTACTCTTTTGGCCCTATTTATAGGGGCAAAGAAAGAATCAATTTTTTGATCATATTTACAGGAGAGAGGGAGAAATTTTTTATATAAATATATAATTTTATCTGTCATTTAGTATTATGTTGATTTTGTTTTAAAAAGGTATAATGCATATTAGATAGATATAAAGTTGGAAAAGTTATCAAATTTTAAATAGAAATTAATGGAGTCTAAAGCTTTTCTTAGTCTGCATGAAATATGTTGGAAGTGATCTATAAATAGGATGAGAAAACTATTTAGTTTGAAAAAAGTATTAAATACAGTGTAATATTTGATGAAGTTCTATTTAGTTTCAATGTGATATTTGATGAAGTTCTATAAATAGGATCAGAAGACTATTTAGTTTCAATGTAATATTTCATGAAGTTCTATCATTACTTAAAGAGGTAGGAGATCATTTCGATTTGTGGATGAAGTTGTCGACTTTGCACAACGAGTTTTAACCAGAAACACTGATGGTAAAGAGTACAACGCATTGTAAGTTGGCTGGGTCGCTAATTTTAATTTGTTTGGTTGGATCAGCGGCAACAAAAAACACAATCCTCCCCAATAGCACAATAAAGCAGAAGCAACTTCTTGTTGCTTTATTAATAGGAATTGGATCCAGCCAAAAAAACTAAACTCTCATAATGTGATAAATTAATATTTAAAATTTTATTAGAAAAGATTTTTATATTTAGTACCTGATAACATTTGAAATAAAATTACCTCTGATTAAAAAGTATCTATGCGTCGAAAAACAAAAAAATGTCTTGTTGCCTCCAATAGTCACGGTGCATTGTCCCATCTGCTCCTTCACACGTCATCATCCTCTCTCTCTCCCCCCCGGGGCATGAAAAATGAAGGAAGTCGCTATTATTATTTTTATTTTGTTTTTTGGTCACTATTATTTTTATAACTAATAGTCTCTACCTAAAAGGATTAAAACAATTCAGCAGTTAAGAAATTTAATTATTACTTTCAATTTAATTTTTATGTTTGACTAATCAGAATAAAAATTATTAATTTAATTTTTGTAATTAAAATAGGACAAGTATGTTTTACAAATTTCCCAATAATACATTCAGTCTTTTTAACTCATTTTCACAATTAATTTTAATATTTCTGTTAAAATTATCATATTGTATACGTATAATACAAATGTGTTATAAAATTTGTATACTTTTTAGTCATTTTATACCTAAATTTACTTTTTCAGTAACTAATTCAAACAACTCTATTTTTACAAGTTAACTTATTTACAAAAGTTAATTCAAACATAAAGTACATTACTCAATCTATTCAAACATGAAGTACATTACTCAATCTAACTTTTACTTAATATTAAATTTCTAAAAATCAAATTGAAAATAAGTCACTTTTATTACTGTCAATCCAAATGGGCACTAAGAGGCGGTACAAGATCAAATCGTTGATTGACTTAACTTTTATATAGTGTTTATATGAATTCACACACGCACACAAACAATACAATAGAAATTTAACGGTGTTGAATTATGGGAAAATTACTTAGAAATTTCCATTTGAAAAATTAATTAAGGAATGGGACATGCAATAAATGTAGAAGTATGAGTTCCTCAAGTATTAGCAAGTGTGATAGGGAAAAATCACATTGCCTTGGAAGATGCTAATTGCATATATGGATTCTCACTTGCGTATGACAGATGCCTACTTGCATATAAATTTTTTGTATAATAAGAATACTAATTACATATAACAAGTGCCTACTTGCATATATGATTGATTTTTACTAGTATATGGGTTTAATGGTAATACGTATGCTCATATATGTACATAACAGATGTTCATTTGCATGACAAATGTCTACTTGCGTATGATGAATCTATACTTACATATGGGTTTATTACATGATATGGATGTTCACTTGCAAATGATGAATCACTGTTTACATGAGTTCTTATTCCATGTTATTATTTAATATGGATTCTAATGACATATGCCCATTTGCATTTGGGTTTTTATTTGCAATGATTGGAGGCTTTTTTTCTCATTTTTCTCACTGCTTATTCCCAATTATTAACTATACATTGAAGACTCTTATTATTATTCAATGTTAATCATTTTGTCTTCATCTATAATAATAATAATAATAATAATAATAATAATAATAATAATAATAATAATAATAATAATAAAGGCTCATGATTCATCCCAATAAAATTAACTCTTTTTTTTTTTTAAATTGAACTAGTTTTTTAGTTCAAGCACTAATTGCTTGAACTATGATTAAACAATTAAATAATTAAATCTCTTATTTAATTTATATTATATTTAATTTGATAAAAAGCCCTTATTAAGCAAATCTGAAGCCTAACAGTTTAAGACCACGTGAATGGTGGATGGATTCTTAAGAGAATTTTGGGAGCTTTAAGTGTTGCTCAAAGAATCATGTATTTGGAAGTTAGTTATGTTGTTTTACTCCTCACTCTCACGTTGGGTATGCTTGTCACAAATTAGGATGATTTCCCCGGCTTTCAAAGAAGTTGGTTCCTCATGCTTTAGTCAATTTTCTCTTCCCCCATGTTTGTATGGAGAGAAAATGGGGAGGAAAGAAAATAAAAGAGAAAAATAGGAGAAGAAATGGCTTTTTCTTTGTTTGGATGAGAAGAGAAATGTGAGAGGAAAGAAAAGTACGGAAGAAACATATTATTGTATTTAAAAGTTCTCTTGATTAATTTCAGACTATTTTTTTACAATATTTTTCAAAGATCATTTGTTAGCAGTTGTTTTGAATTATTTTTTGAAATTTATTTTTTTTTAAATTTTTGAACAACTTTTAATTGACTTAGGATCAGTATACATTTAGTACTCTAAAATATTTTTTTAGGTGTATTTATCATCCTAAAATATTTTGTTGTGCATCCAACATCTTAAAATACTTTTTTAAATACATCTAGTAAGGTGAAATATTTTTAGTATGTCCAGCACTTTAAAAATTTTTTAAGATTCATTGAGTACCCTCAAATATTTTTTTCTGTACATTTAGCACCAAGACAAAGAAAAAACTTCAACATGCTAAATGCACTTAAAAAAATACTTTGAAGTGTTTGATGTTCCTAAAAAATAATTTTCAGCACCAAAAAAAAAACTTCAAGATGTTAGATGCATCAAATTTGATCTAAATTACTTTCTCAGTAAATTTTAATTTATCAAACTGATTTTTTAAAGAATATATCCAAAAATAAATTTTATTATAATAAATAATTTTTATCAAACTAAAAACCAATCACATTTAATATTGTCCCCCCGTGTGAACTTAAAACATAGGTAGAGAGAGCCCAATGGACCTAGAGTGTAGGAAAGTCCTTGAAATTTTTCTCATAAAAATTCATTTTAGTTCAAACCCACAACATAAAGGGGTTACAATTTTGTCATCCTCTTGTATTTATTTTCAACACGGTTGTTTTAGTATCCCACAATAGCTGAAACAGCAGTTCTTAGTGAGAGGATGCATAAAAGAACAATGGGCAAGCTATCATGCTTTTTCAACAAAACCATAGCATGTAGATGTCTCTCTTTAATCAGCAGCAAATCATTGACTCAATCTAAAAGAATTAAGAAAACACTAAAAGAACACAAATCGAAGTTTCTCCCAAGAATAAGCCTTGAGAAGTAACCTGAATTCATTGTCACTTTGTAAGATTTGGTGCATCAGACTCAAGCAGCAACTTTTGGTTCAGTGGCAGCCACATTTGCGTACAGAGGGTGGAGGACATGACCTTCCTTGGGTTCAACATGCACCCACTTGCGACCAGTCAGTTTGTTTCTTTCAAACTTCACCCAACCTTCTTTCAACGCAAAAAGAGTATGATCTTTCCCAATTCCAACATAGTTTCCCGGATGAAATCGGGTACCACGTTGCCTAACAATGATGTTTCCAGGTATTACTCTCTGCCAGAAGAAACAGAGAATTCTGCCGTGAGTTCAGGGCTAATCACTGATTAGATTGTGAAGCTACCTTTTCTTGTCTTCCAATTTTTAAACGGTGTAGACCTGAAACTTGATCCATAATCAGGTCTAGTTCCATTTGTCCTCTCATAGTCTGCCATAAGCCAAACTCTTGCTTAAAGCAACAATATCATACCTCACCACCAAATTTCTTGACACCAAGATTCTTGGGTTTTGAGTCTCTTCCATTCTTCGTAGATCCGGCTGTCTTTTTGGTAGCCCATCGTCTGAAAACCAGACTCAATCCTTCTCCAGAGACATCTAAACTCAAATTAACGGGAATAAATCATTACATTCTATCTCTTGTTAGAAAAATACAATTACATAAGCTAATATAGCCATCTTGAAATTTATACCACTTGAGATTCTGTAAACAGGAGCATTCGAGACAAGCTCCTTGATATTCATCCTTCTGCATAGCGACGCTGCAAAATTCATCATTTTGTTCACCTGAAATACACAAATCGGTATGGAAAACATTCACTACTGCAAAAGCCCATCAATGATGCCTATCACCTATGACCATTGGCATATAAATACATACAATAAACATGGGACAGTATGATAACAAAGTCAAATTTCTTAATTATTTTGCTTTAAAAAGGAATTTATCAAAATAGGCCCACATGTGCCAACATAAATCTGCGGGTGTAAAGAACAAGAGACATACAAAGAAAAGTATTATATCCCACAGTAAATAAAATAGCAGAGATTGGTCCTAGTGATTTAATTTTGACAGATTTATCACCAAATCATAGTGGAAGAGAAGCAATGTACATCATGAACCAATAACATTCTCAAGAAAAGTTAGCATTGCCATCATTATCAGCATTAACATGAAAACAAATTTCTTATGGTCAATATGTTACTACTTTCTCTAACTTCTTAGTTCAAGCTTCACACAACAATTGCCAAATATAATATTATGTAGAGATGCAAGACAGGAAAATATAAATATCTATATAGTCTGCCCAACCACATCAGCATGTTGCCAGATGTCCATTGTCCTCGATGGAAGGGAGAGAAAGATTAACAAGATAAAGTGGGAATGTGAAATAAAATCAACTAGAGAGAGAAAAAGAAAAATTAGATTCCAAGCAGCTTCATTACAGAACTGCAGAAGCACAAAGATTGGAGGGAATAACTCTTCCCAATAGCCCAAAGAAGATGGCAAAGAGCTAAAAGCAGAGTGTGTTATTGTGTTTCATGACACGCTAACACAAGTTGAAGAGTGATTGTTTAAGGAAAAAAATAAAAATCATCTGGTTGGGTACTCGGGTGCTGATGAAAAGAACCTAATGTATATGAACCCAGTTATGCTGATATCAAGCATTTTTGTCAAATTTTATATTGCTGAATTTCACAAATACAGAAGCTCGACCACTCCCTCCAGATAATCTGTAAATGTGATTGTACTACAGAGTCAAATGCTTTAATATACAAGTTCCCATTAAAACAATTCATATAAAAACCCGACCAAACAAGGAAAAGAAAATCTAACAACAGCTTTGCATAGTATACTTTTTTACGAAATAGGTCTCTGTCCTACTGTAAAGCATGCGCATTACAAACAACAATTACCACAAGTTATCCTTGACCGACGTAGCTTAGGTTTTAAGACAACCCCTTAGTCCATAAATTAAACATCCATCAACCAGAATTAGAGAGTTCTAGCGCTTCAAAATGATTTCCTACCAGTTGAAACAGTTTTCTGTTGTATAAATATTAAAAAAAAAAAAAAAATCAAAGGGTAGTCAAGACAGTAAGGATATTTGGCTGTTAGCTTGAGTGACGCAGCCATTTTCTGGTGTATAAATATTTTTTTTTTAAAATCAAAGGGTAGTTAAGACAGTAAGGATATTTAGCCGTTAGCTTAAGTGACGCAGCCTAAGACTATGAATAAAACCCCTACTCAATCGTAATTCTCAGAGTAAGACTTATGCGTAATACAGTTTCAGACTATTCAGAATTCTCTCATCTCTCCCCCCCCCCCAAAACAAAAAAAAAAAAGGAAAAAAAAAAAAAAAAACCAAACCCTCCTTTCCTCTTGGTTTCTCTACCTCTGTTCTACCCTGTTCCTCTATCCTTTCCCTCTTCTCTCCGTTTCAAAATAACGATAAGCCATCATTTTCTAACAATGACTATCAATGGAAATCTTAGCTTTAAGAGTTTATTTATTCAGATTATGACCCTTTCCGATATATTTCTAAGTGAATCTAGCAACAGATTCCCTGCAACCCTTATAAACCACAATCCTGGTACTGCATCATCTGGATTGCCTAAGATAGCATCCTATTTCGTTGATTGACAGAAAAAGGACCAACAATGAGAAGGTGAGGTACACCTCGTCTTCATCAACTAACAAAAATAACATGAAAGCTATCTACATAAGACACAACATAGAGGCTATGACCACAAGGTAAGAACAAAACAGAGGGAGACCAAGTCTAAACAGCGAGAAATATAAAGGTTTTCATCCCGTCAAAATTTTCCCAAGAGGAAAATCTTATCTTTATTTTTTAATTCCATTTGCAGATCGTGGAAGCAAATGGTTTTTATATTGTTGTATTCGTAAGCTAACTCCAAAATAAAGTCGTTTTCCACAAGCACAACTATAAGTTCTATCACACAGTTGATTTGGTTGTTTTAGGATAGGAGGAAGTATTACTCTTGATCATATGGATTTAATGAATCAAACGCAAAGTTCACTACCAGTTGCTTATTATTTTTATTTCCGGTTTAATGAATCAAACCCATGGTTCACTAAGCACAACAACACGAAAACCCAACAATTGCATCAATAGAATGATTGAAGAAACAATAGATAAACTCAAAACCCACCTAAAGAGCTGTTGCAGGAAAATGAAGAAAAATATTGCACTTCGGGGGGGGGGGGATTGAAATAGGGTTAAAAAACGACCTGATAGATCAGATTGATACCTGCTCAGCTGAGACTGGGCGAGGGAGGGGAGACGGCGCCGACTGGCGTCTGGGCGGGTGACTACCGACTGGTCTGCAGGTGCAGGTCTGGTCGAGCTACGACTGCGCACGAAGGCAGGAGGGACGAACGACGGGGACTGGGCGGCTGCGCTGGTGGTGGTGACCGGTCTGCTCGCGGTTGTCTGGTCGAGCACTCGAGCACGGTGTCCGTCGAAGGGAAGGGAAGGCGCCAAGAGGGAGTAACCGACAGTGTGATGGCGAGGGCCAAGACAGGGAGTGACTAAGGGAAGCGAGAATGGCAAAGCCAATTTATCGCTACAGGCCCCAAACGACGAGTGTAGCTCTTGACTTGTGAAGTGAGAATGATGGGCCGACGTTACCGCGGTTTAGGGGGTGTTTGGATGAAACCAAACCGTGGTTTGGAAAAGTGATTCTGGAGAATAGATTTTGGAGAGAATAGATTTTATGAAGAATATATTTTGTAAAAAAGTGATTCTGAGAAGTGATAGTGTTTGGATAGTTGTTATCAGAAGCACTTTTTATATATACAAATTACTAAAAAAAAGATATAAGTTAATATGATAATTACAAAAAAAAATAGATTTTATGATATATTTTAATTTGAAGGAATAAAATTGTTAATAATATATTTTTTACCAACATAATTAATAATACATAAGATAATATAATTAATAAATAATTAATGTGTATATATATTTATAAAATATAAGATTAAATATGTTTATCAAAAAATATGTTTATAAAAAAAATAACAAGATACATATCATATAGGCTCTCACACTCTCCCTTTTTTCTCCAAGAGCAAAAAAATTTTGCTTTTTCCAAAACCATGGTTTTGACCCAAAACCATGGTTTTGGTTTTTAGAGGGGGTGTTTGGGTGATTGACACCCCAAACACACCCTTAGTATGTTTTCCTAACTCTAATTAAGAGGCTTATTTTAAAAGAAAAACCTTGTAATAATTTGAGTTCCGCAATTCCACTAGTTAGTTTTTAGCAAGGTACTAAAAACCAGATCTGTTAGTGAACCGGTCAAGATAGTGAGTTAAGTATAGTTAAGATAAACCAAACCGGTAATAATTAAAATAATATAATTAAATTAAAATGTGTAAAAAATTTACTAATAAAACTATAATTTTAAATTATTTTATTATTAGTATATAAAATATTTTTTCCTCATTATTTCTCTCTCATTCACGTGCCCTTCCTTGTCCTTTGTCAGATTTTCTTTCTTCTCAATGTCATTTCATCATTTCACTCACACTATTGTCAAATCACCGTTCTTCTAGCTTCTAAGTCACCATTTCTTTATCTTAGGAGTTAAATGTGAAACCTCACACACAAAGAAGATCTGCATCTAGCTGTGGAGGTCACCTCTTTCATTCGCCGATTAGCGCTAACTCTTTAGTCTTCACTTTTATCATCAGAATCCATTATGGTGATGCCACAGCTTGTGTCGTTCTTTTCGAATGTAAACGCATTCACTCTTGCCACTTGCTTTTTGCCTCTTTCTTTCATCTTTTTCCTCTCACTTTTTTCTCTCTCATTGTTTGCGACGCCCTCCATTGTTTCTAGTGAGTTAGAAAGTTAACTCAAGCAACTCGCCTAACTTGGCAAGTTACTGGGGTTATTACCAAGTTATCCCGATTTATACCGAGTCCTGCCAATTCGTATTTTTACTGGTTTAGAAAGTCAACCGGACCAGACAAGCAGTTGGTTCATCAATTTCTGGCTGGAACTAACCGGTCCGGTCTGGTTTGGTTTTTAATACTATGGTTTTTAGAGCAGGGTTCTTTCATATGCCATACACATCAAGTCTAACAAAAACCCTTTCCTGAGGAAAAACACTTGCAAAGATTCCTTCAAATTTATGTTTAACTCTTTTTGGTAGTTCGAATGGAGATAGTCAAATTTCTAAACTCTTACAAGTAAGCCCAATTCCTACTCTAAATCTACTCAATATATTTGATTGGGATGCTACTTCCGGTCTTAAATATAAAAACTAGTTGATAGTTCTAAATGTGAAACCCCTATTCACTTTATCTCCAAAATTTATAATGTATTTCCATCCAAGTATAGTTTCAATACATCAGTAAATCTCTGCTCTTTGAGGGCGGGGGTTCGAATCCTTACTTGTTAAAAAGGGTACCGGGGAGGGCTTTACTTGTCGCCCGGCCCGAATCCGGACTAGTCGATCGCTCGGGTACAACTGGCCTAAAGAGTTTGGGGCCCAAAAAAGGCGCGGTTGGATACCGGATGGTTTATATCAGAAAAAAGATAATTTAAGGAAGTCAACACATGTTTGTTACAAATAACAAACTTAACTAATTTTCTTAATCTCTTCAAATTAGTTATTTAACTTTTATATTAAGGACTGGAAGCGGTAATAAATATTGGTGGCTGTTGTAGCCGAGTAGTCGTTCGTTTTCGTCACTAGATGTAGCTGACCTTATACTGCGTAAGGAATCTTGCCTTGTTGCATTTGTTGTATCCTATCCCCATTGTCAAACAATTTTACACAATTCCAACCCCACGTTCCCAATATAAAGATCGACTGGAATGGAAGGGGAATGGTAGTGGTCAGTGCTCAGTAAAGGATGGGCACATGATTCTGTAAGAATAGGTACATGGCAATAATGGTTTGTTAGGAAACATTTAAATGTTTGATTGGGATTTGTTATGGAGACTCAAGAGTATTTGGATGGAAACTAAGCCATAATTTTAAAAATAATTTTATCATATACGAAGTAAGTATATAAAAGGAGTTTTATTTCACCTTTCATAAAAGTACTTTTTTAAAGTGTTTTCTGATGTTGTTCCCAAACAACAATCAACTTTTTTGTCTGCCCAGAACCCAGTTCCATTATATTACCTATAATACTTAATAGAAAAAACTAATTTGACTTTCAATTTAGTTTTAAATATAAGATATTAATTCATTTTATGTTTCATATTTATCTAATTTTTTTTCAAAGTAGTCATTGTACTAATTGCATATGTTAAAAATTTAGTCTACATAAATATAACATCTATGCTCTATAATTAGCTGAGTTTATTCCATACACTGATCGGCTACACACTCATTGTACTATTGTTATAAACAATACGGCTTAAGTATGACTTTTAGGCTATATGCAACCTCGCTATATAATTTGCCCAAAAAGGCATTTCCCTACTGCATAGCACACGTGAGTTCCTTTACGCTCAGTATAATAGGGTGTGGTTGCAATCTTCTAAAATGCTTCCTTAAAAGCAGGAGAGACTATTCAAGGTAATATGCACAGATGTTCTACATTTATTTCTTGCCATTAACTTCACTTTCTTCTGCTATATAACGCTTACTCATAGCTTCACT